GACTTCACTTGTGCCTCCACGTCGCGCTCGGACTCCTTCCTCACCTTTGCTCCCTCTGTGCTCAGCAAGGCCTCCTCTGTCGCGTTGGACCAGAGGGAGGAGGTTCCCCTCACCAGATAAGGAACCGCCCGCGGGCTGCCGACTCCAGGATGCCCGTGGGGGGCCCCCCGGGGACTCAGCCAAGGCCCCTCCTGCCCCCAAAATACCGAAGGGGAAAGGAGGAGGCCTCAAAGGACCAGCGGAACTCAGCCTCAAGGATGGGGAGGTCCCCGAAGCGGGAGTGGCTGGCGTTTGGGGAGCAGGAGTGGGTATGGGAAAGCCGAGGTTCCTTTGGGGTTCTATTCACTGTTCTTCACTGGACCCACGACCCCACAGATAAACAAAACTTAGCAGCGAACAGCAACCCGTATCCAACCCCTTTGCCTCCCATCTCCCCACCTCACACTTCTCACCCGGGCCCCTCTCTCCTGCTGAACACTGGAAAGGGAAATCGCTGTCTGTACAAAACGCTGTGTATACAGAGCAGGTCGAGATCAGTCTTTGCCAGATTTTCCAAGGCATGACAAGGGGCTTGTGGAAGGCAACAGATCAGCCCATTTAGGGGAGAGAACAAGATGATTTACTGTCAGGGAGAATTTTGCCCCTTGTCAAGGAACCGGGGGGCTCTCTCACCCTCCTGGAACCCCAGTTGCACAGCATCTTCTGGTTCTGACATCTATCAGATCTTTTTCCTCACTGCAGCTTTATGACAACTCTCCACTTGCTCTTCCAGCCCTGCTCCCTCCATTTTTTGTTTGAGGTTGGCAGGGAAGCTGCAGCCGCCCCAGGGCCCCTTGGCAGAAGCCAAGCTTCTCCCAGGACCCAGCACACACCCTGATTAGCAAGTCATGTGTGTGAGGAGGGCTTCTGAATGTTGAATGTATGTATGATAATGATCACCAAGCGGCTGGCCACCAAACCCAGAGCTGAGGCGTTAACAAGGCGCCCAGGGAAGAGCTTAGGGAGCTGGGAATTCACCTTGCTCCCTCAGGATCTGGTGACAAACTAGAGGCTATTTTCATCTTTTGCCTGTTCATCTTCACTTCGCCAGGACCTTGCTGGCTCTTCCCTTTGCATTTGGTATTTTACATCCTCCTCTCATTTTCCTTTGAAGTTGCCACAGAGGCTCCATTTTTCAGAAACCCTATGACACGGAGCTTGTCTCTACCCTCACCAGGGTTTGTTTGGGATCCAGTCCCAAACTTCCCCATATTCATTCTTGAAGCCAATTTTTGAGGAAGGAGAGAACTTTTACCCCCAATGCAAGCCTCACCCCAACTGAGAGGGAGTAATTCTTCCTGTAGGGAATGAATTTGGTTTGGTTTGGGGTTTTCCTTTGAAGCCCAAAGAATTTGTTATGATTTGTTAACCATATTGCAATAAAAGCTGGACATGATTCTCACTTTAGCATTTAAATATTTTTTTTTCAGCAGACAACACACTGACTCTTATTTTAATTGATTAGGTAGGAAAGCGTTGCCTAAGCCCCTGTTGAACATTGGCAGATTCCACCCAGACACTACAGGGAGGTGAAGGGAGGCTTCTATCTGCCCAGGGCACTGGCTTCCTTAATTCAAGCAGTGCTGGGCACCTTTGTGGGGAAACTGGATTCCAAAGTGCTGGCTCCATCCAGGGATCACCCTTCTTATGGATGGGTCACTCCTGGGGTGCTCTAATCCTCTGAGGAAAAGAGACCTGGCATGATCTCCCTGAGACGTACCTCTGCCTCAGCCCAAGTTGTGGCAAGTGGGACTGTGGCAGTAGACTTGAGCACGGAGGGTTAGATTTGCTGGTCTAGCTGGGTCTGGCAGAGGGCAGAATAGGGTGGGATCTTCTTGGTCTGAACGACCCTCAGACAAGAAATCCTCGGAAAGATGGAATTCTGTGGGCAGTTAAAGGAAGGGACAGGCAGTGCTCAGCAGCCTCCACCCAGCCCCAGGCAAACGGCTGCTTCTGGGAGTATAGGAGGCTTTAGATTTCCTGGAAGCTGGTGTTTCCGCAGGCAGGTGAGAACTCAGCTACTCTCCTCCCTCCTGGCCCCTGCCCTCCCAAACGAAGCCTGCAGGGAAGTTTCCGTACCCACATCCCCAGTCTCTCGCCCAGACTCGCGCAGCTCCCTCTGCAGCCAAAACTCTCAAGTGCCAGGGGCCGACAAATTTCGCGGTTGCTCCGCATCGGGCAGAGATTGCTTGCGACAGGTAAATGGGCTGCGGATTGCCTTAATGCCAGGCGTATTTTCAGTTAATAGGGAGGGAAAATGAGGTGTCTGCAGCGATATTGGAAAGTACAAGATCGATGATCCGGCCTCGTGTCCAATCAGCAGCCTTTAATTGACTGTATTTTCTGGGTAATTGAGCCTCTCTTCCTCCAAATTGAAGTGGAAGATATAACAATACATCTTGCCAGGAGGAATTACTCATTACTTCATAATGAAATTTCCCTTTTGCCAAGGTTTGCGGTTTGGTGCTAGGCACCACCTCTCACACTTGGTCTCCCCTCCCTCCCACCTGCACCGGGGAAGCCCATCTGGCCGGACACGCCCACCCGTTTGGTAGCGAGGTGGGCGAGGACCATGAAGAAGGCCCTCCCCCATCTACAGCCGCCCATCTCTTTCGGTAGAAGGAGATGGATACCTGGGACCACAGGGCCTGATTTGGGCTTGTTTTCGTTGCTCCGTCTTTAGGAGCATCTCTGTTTAGCTGTGCCTCGTCCCAGTCCCATTGCCCATTGCGAAGGTGGGCAAATGGAGGATCCCATTATCGAACAGCTGCTTCCTCCTCCCTCACCCCGCTTTTGGGCTCTGAAGCCACTCCCCTCAAGTCTGACACTTCTCTCCTGACGCACATCTTCCCATTGCACCTTAGTCTGGTGGGCGGTGGGGCCTGGGCTCTCGGCTGGTACCCTGGCCGGTTCTCCTGGCTGGTGAGGTTAGCCGCCCACAGCCAAGTAAGTGCACGCAGGGCCAGGCTGTCGCCAGCTTGTTAGAGTGTGATTGATTGCCTTATTAAAGCGTGTTCTTGTAAGTGTGACCAAACTGATTGCATTGCATATGTTTGGGATAATGCTCATTTTAAACAACAGGATAAAGCGGATGAGCTCTGCAGAGCCTCGAAGACAAAATGATTCCGGCCCGCAGCTCCCTAACTCTGGCATTAAATTGCCCAGTTACATAGCAAATCACTTGGTTCTTCCATCCTTATCCCCCTTTTTTTTTTCTGGCCCGCTCTTTGATGGTTTCTCTAGTGACTATATCAGCTCCACCTTTAGGCTCCACTCCTTCCCTGAAACACACTTCAGGCATGGGATTCTCCTCCCTATGCCTAATGCAGGGAGAAGAGATTCAGAATGCACGCTCCACCAGAACTCTCCTACAGCAACGTGGCTCTAGATAGTCAACCCAAAAAGGACCTGGGGTCCCCTCCACAGCAAGTCTCTTATACCTCCCTCCTTCATTTAAGTTTAAAAGGTTCTTTTGTTCCCCAGGAGGCTTCTCCTGCTTGGGTTGCTTCCATTATTCCCCAAATGAGGAAACACCCGCCACCATATGTCAGCAGGAGAGAATGGGTGTCACAGTGGTTAGTTGCTGAAGATGTACAGACAAATGACATTCTCCAAGTGGGAGAGCTTTGCCTATTTAGTATCCTCTCCATGCACCATTGCTCCAGAATAGTAGAGGGAGGGCAGGTTGGAGCAAAAACTGGAATTTCTTCTAATTGCGTCCCCATTCCCACACCTCTAACGATTCATTGTGGTAGGAGTTCCTTCTGTGCAATTTCCTAACAAAGAAATCCTCAGCTTGCTTCCACCCACTCCTGTCTAGTTGCTGGAGAGCCAAACTACTCTAAGGTTGGACTTCCTAAGGGATTTCTCTGAGATATGCTGGAATTCTGATTTGTTCAAAATGATGACAGTCATCGGAGCAAATCAGAAATGATGCCAGTCCTCTAGGTGCCATTTGTAAGTGCAATAGCACAGATACATCTGCAGGACCCAGCTAAAAGAGATCTGGTCATTAAGCGACTAGATGCATCAGCCAATCTCTTTTATCATTCAGCTTTGCTGCAGTTCTCCCTGGGTAGGCACATCAGACTGCAATAGGGCAAAACTAAGGTCCAGCTCACCATTTGTGCCAGCTTCTGGGACCTGGAAACATTGACCCTAATGGGAGAAAGAAAACCAACCATCTAATGCATCCTACCGTCTACAAAGCAAACAAATACAAAGTCGTTTCCAAAACCACCTTCTCAGCAAATAAGTAGGTGATATTCTGAGGAGGAGGGAGAAAGATTGCCACTTAAAAATAACATGAAAGCATTAAGTAATTATTTAAAACAAGGCTGTTTAGAAAAATATTTGTATTTATTGCAGCTGCTCAATTGGCCTCGTTAAAGTCAGCAAGCATTTAAATTGTGTTACAATCTCATTTAAATCCTGCTCCGTTCCAGCAGGCTGAAGAGCTTGAATAGACCAATCACTTCATAATGATGATGAATGAGAAATTAATTCAGATACAAGCAAGACAATTTAGGCCTTCATCTGTTTAAATAGCCTTCCAATATTATTCGTGATCGCGGGTCACAGATTGAATCAATTGTCCAATCTTGTGAAAGTCATATCCTTGCATCTTCATCGAGATTATTTATAGCACAGCGAGGGCTGCTGAAAGGTATACGCTGTTAACAGGGACAATTACTTAAAGGGAAGCGTTTGTAAAATGGAAAACAAATGCCAGGCTTGGTAACAAATGAGATCAAAAGCGGTCATTCGAATCTGGCTACTGGAGGGAAGGGAGCGAGAGTGGCCTGCAGGATGAGGGGTGCTCGGGTCACTTCAGACCTCTCCAGGGCCCAGGTGAGCTGGAGCCTCCTAGGCAAGTGCGCCGCTGCCGCCCTGCATCACAGGGACCTTCTTGCCTCCGCTAGCTTTAAGCTTTTGCCTCCCTGGTGCAGGTGGCAGCTACTGTAGTCACGGAAGGGCATCCTAAGCAACAGAACTCCATGGGCTCCGACCTAGGGTGGTCGGCTTTGTGCGCGCAGGTGAGGGGCTGGGGACTCCAGCTGGGGTCTGGCTTCACTGTCTGT